CTTTTCAGCTGCCTCTTTCCATTTTCCTGATAAGTCTGTATTGACAGTAATGTGTTCACTGGAGTGCAGGAGGAGACCTAACAGGACTAGGAACTCCCTTGTTCATTAAAACTCCCCATGGCAAGGTAGTGGGATGAGTGCCCTTTCTGTCGATATCGGGACCATTTCTGACCAGAGACCAAGGAACAGAAGCTGCTGCAATAGCTTTTATCAAATGCTCCCCTTGGCAACAGAGATTCTCAACTGCAAAGTGCTCTGCATTATTGATATGGTACAGCACAACCTTAACAAATCGGGTATCAGTCTTTGATGTTGATATATATTTGCAGATTTTGTTGTGGCATTTTTTTTTTTTTAAGCTGAAGCACTAAAATAGCATTACTCTTATAGAATATACTGCATAAAATTACGGTTTCTTAGCAAAGTCCTTTGCCTCAGTCTCTTGTGCTTAATTGAAAATTCTCTTTTGGTCCTAATGTCTGTTCCATGTTCCCACATTCTAGTGAAAGGGCAGAAAGGGTCAGTATTGAGCAGCAGCAGCAGTAAAAAAGAAATAAGGGAAAAAAAAAAAAGTCCTGAGCACTTTGCTAGAATACTGCCTTTAAAATTCAACATTTAGAACCTCGCCTGCAGAACAGCAGTAGTCATCTCTCTATGCTTCACAAAAGCTTTCTAAACATATTTGTAAAATTAAAAAATATGTTTCACCCAGGTTGATCTTGCGTTTGGATGGCTAAATGAGGCTTTGCTGATTTATTTTCATCAAAATGCATTCACAGTTTGCAAATGTAATCATAATGCTCCTATTTAAGTGATATATTAGAAGGAAGAAGAGTGCAATAGGTGTGTCAATCTGCTATTTTTGACTATAACATATAAACTTAATGAGTTACCCAGAATGAAAAAACTTCAGGAATTGCCAAGGAAACAGGTTCTTTCATGAGCTTGAACAAAAAATTAGAAAATGTACGACCTAAAAGCATGTTTATTATACCTTGATTCTCCATCTATAGGTGGCACGCACAGCACCCACTCAGCCTGTTTCTACAATAACATTTGGAGAAGAAAGTTTGAAACTCTCAAAACTTACAGAATGACATCTGCAAAGATGACAGGTGTATGACATGGAGAGAATGTTTAATAAAAGGAAAGATTTTTCCGAGTTGAACAATTTTTAATCTCCAGAATTATTTAGAAGAGGAAGTATTTGAGAATTGTTAGGTTAAAATCTGGAATGTTTGTAGGCAGTGGTTTGGGGCTGAAACAAGCTATTCAAAGAAATTTGTTCATCCAAAAATATCTTTAGAGCCTTCAATTTTCCTTCTAAAGATGAAGAGGGCACACACAGAGCTGTCTAAGGCAGTAAGCAG